ATGTCAGTTAGAATCTATCTATCGGTCACTCGGTTGTGGTGTGTGTGTGTGTGTGTGTGTGTGTGTGTCTCAGTCTGCGTACAGCTGCCGCTCGCTTGACTCGTTTCACACTTTCCCGGTTTTTCTTTGCTGATAAGCAAGCTGGGTGTTTGGCCTGTGTTCGTCTTCATCTTTTTCTACGTCTATTTGTTGATGCACACAGATAAGCAGCTTGATCAAGATAACGGTGAAATGTATGTCACGTCTGACGCTCTATGCGGCTCCGGCTGCTGCTGCTGCATTTTCTTCGGGCAACGCTGTGGGAAGCGTGAGCGTGTTAATAGATAAATCGGTCGAGCGCTCTTCCAGTACGTGCTCCACAATTAAAATTGATTTCTGCCTATGAATATTAGATATAGCCAAATGTAGCACCACGAGGCACTCATATATAACATATATATGTACATATATGTATACATATACCCATATATTAGCTGGAAACCTGATCATAGAGCTGCTACTACCACCATGCAACCTGTTTGGCAAGTGGGCGTCCAGCTAGTCAATACAATAAGGCAAAAGCTAACAGGTGCTGCCACCTGCCTTATAGAGAGATTCAGCAGAGCCCGTAGACTGACTGACTGGGCGATGTCTGTTTCTGTTTCTGGTTTCAGTTCTGGTTCTGCTTCTGAAGCTGTTTTGCAATCTTTAAGATTTTGCATATTTCATGCGATGTTTTGTAATCTACAGTAAACGATCTAAATGGGTAGCATCAGAGTCTAGCCAAAGCCGTGACTGTTGGCAGATATACCCTGTAAACCTACTAATTGTTATGGTAGTACTTTGATACTTTAAAATTCTTTATACATTTTTCTTTGTCTTAGTTTCTTGGTATAAGTTACAATACTCTATATTATGATCATACAATCTGACGATCAAATAGACGTATTAATAGAGCCGCAATAAAGTTCATTCGGTAAACAAATAATATGGGTATACCATAATATAGCTTGATACTGTAGAGAACTTCGTTTTGATTATTTATCGACTTCAGTTTCACAACAACCAAAGTCGAACGTGTTGTAAAGCTCATATTTATTGTTATCACATATTATATATACATATGTATATATGTTTATAGTCTGTTGATTGTCTGAATTTATATCAATGACTGATTAATTCAATACAGCTAAAGACCGCTTTGTTGAAGTTGTTTTTGCTTTACATTAATTATATTTAATGGCTTTTCTATTCGCTTGAAAGAAGTATATTCAGTATTGTCTATCTACATTGAACTCAGAGAGGCTTGAAATTTGATGTATAAACAGTTATAGTTTAATAGGCTTTTTTTTACTATATAATAAAATACTTAAATATTATCATAAAATATTCTAAACGTATAGATATGATGAAGTTCTAGTATAATAAAATTTCTCTCTATATACCATATCTAAAATGTAGACCATTTATGATCTCATTTAATGATAAGCCCAAAACAGAAGTCGTAAAAAGGTGGGAAACTAAATATGCCCTAATAAATAACGTCTGGCTTGACTTGGCTCGACGGCTCTTGTTGTTTAGTGTAGGAGTATAATGCAGTCGGTTTCACATGAGTGCAACATTCTTTTACTTGCTTTAGTTCTGGCTTCTCCTTATCATTAGTTCAGTTCAATGCACTTTCGAGTCTTCACTTTGCTTTTCACATCACTTATCCACGGAACAATCGTGGGGACAGACGGCTTTACTTCCGATTTGAGCCCAACTCCTACATGATTCAGATACACACACACGCACACACACATACAC